ATTGCAACTTATAATAAAGTACAATTTACCTCAACAAAAAATTTGGTAAAAGGTATATTGGATTGAAATTAAAGGGAAAAAGAAGAATCTGGGAAAGTATGTTTTATAAACTGGAAAGCACCGTTCAAGCCTTGGTTGCTCCTATTTTGCATCCGGCTTAAAGAATGAGAGCCGCAAAGTCTCCTTTACCTTAAAAATCTGAGATGGCCTGTGACACTTTGACAGCAACCCTTGTCCTAGTCCTGTGTGGTCTGTGTTGTTCCTGCCCCCCGCCCCCAAGTCTCTATAGCGTTGGGTTGCCTTTTCTCTGCCTGTCTGTTAAGTATTAGTGTCACTGGAGTTCTGTCTTTATAACTCTCCCCACTCTACATGCTACTGACCATCTCTGTAAAGCCCGGCTCCCATCGTGATTTCCTACCCTCCAGGCCACAGCTCTTTTCTCCTCTAGATCCATACTCATTCATTCAACAACTATTTACTGGGGATCTTCTGATGCCAGCTATTGTTCTTGGCACTGGGCCACATCAGTAAATGGAACAAAGATCTTTGCCTTCATGGAGCTTACATGCTTAGATCTTTCTCCCTTGATGTACCTAAGACTCAATCTGTCCCAAATTACCTCATTATCTTCACCCTTTGCTTCTCCCCAACCCTAAACCTGTTCCTCCTATGGACCTCCCATCTCTGTGATTTCACTGCCATCCTCTCAGAAACCTGGGAGTCATCCCTGACCCTTCTCCAATAAATCACAATATGCTGACTTTTCTGTGTCTTGGCTATCTCTCAAAACCCTCCACTTACCTGTATTTCCACTGCCCTGCCCCGTTCTCATCCTTTCTCATCTGGCTTACTGACTGGTTACTCTGCCTCCAGTCTTATTCCTCCCGACCATTCTCCATACTGATACTGTAGCTAGAGTGATCATAAAATGCAAATCTGAACCGATTGCTTTCTGCCTAAACCTGTCCAGTGGCCCTGCCAGATCAAAGTCTAAATTCCTTACCTTGTCCTTGCGTCCTCAGTTGTCAGGTGATGAGCACAGCTACTGAAACCTGGGTTCAAATCTCGGCTTCCTAGCATGACCTTAGGCAAATTTTTTTATCCTCTCCATGCCTTACTTTCCTATCTATAAAATGGGAATGATAACAGTCTGGTCTCTTAGAGTTGTTGTGGGGATTAAATTTGTTATTTCACACAAAGCACTAAGAACAGTACCTGGCCCTCAGTATATACTCAAGAAGTGCTGGTTTTCTCTCATAGAGTTGCTGTAATGTTTAAATAAATTAAAACATCTAAGAGGCTTTGAACAGTGCGGAGTCCATCTTAAATGCTCTGTAATGTCAATGTTGTTGCCTCTCTAGCCTCACTTCTTGCTCCTCTTCCACACAAACCTGACAGCCCTGTGAGGCTGGCTGTGGTTCTCTCTCTTACACCTCTACGCCTTGGTACTAGGGTTCCTCCCTTCTCATCTTTATTCCTGGCCATCTCCCACAAAGTCTTCAAGCCTCTGCTCAGGCACCAATTCCTGGCTGCCCCACCCCAGGCTGAGCTGGCTGCTCCTCCCATGCCTCTCCCTCTTAGAACACGCACTTACTTCTATCACAGCATGTTGTAATTGTTTATTTAAAACGTACTGAGAAGCATCCATCAACAGACAAATGGATAAGCAAAATGTGGTATATCCATACAATGGAACATTATTCAGCCTTACAAAGGAATGAAGGATGAATACATGCTACATTGTGGATGAACCTTGAGCACATTATGCTAGTAAAATAAGCCAGACACAAAAGGACAAATACTGTGATTCCGCTTATATGAGGTACCTAGGATAGGCAAATTCAGAGACAGAAAGTACAACACAGGTTCCAGGGGCTGAGGGAAAGAGGGAATGGGTACGGAGTTTCTGTGTGGGATGATGAAGAAGTTCTGGAGATGGCCAGTGGTGATTTTGCATAATACTGTGAATGTACTTAATGCCCCTGAATTATACACTTAAAAATGGTTAAAGTGGTAAATTCTACGTTCTGCAATATTTTACCACGATAAAATTTTTTTAAAATGTACTGAGAAATAATTTAGCCTAGTTGTTCAACTCTTGGCTCTAAATCCCGGCTTTGTCAGGCTGTGTGACCTGGTATATAAGGTATATAATTTCTCTAAGCATCAGTGTCTTCATCTGTAAAAATAGGTAGTTTTCCTTCACAAAGTTGTTTGAAGATTAAATGAAGTCACATACGTAGAATTATTTGATACAGAACGTGGATGACGGTAAGCCCTCACTAAGTGTTTTCTTTATTATTATTAAATTATGATCTCTTTGGGCGTAGGATCTGTACCTCTATCACAATTGTATCCCAGGTGCTTAACACAGTAGGTGTTTAGTGCATGTGTGTGAAATGAATGAGCAACTGAACAGTCTTCTATTTCAAGCCCTTACTTCAGCAAATCTCAGGTGTGATCTGGGAACCCATGGAGGGTCCCAAGATCCCTTCAGGGTGTCCGTGAAGTCAAAACTATTTTTATAATAATATGAAGATGTATTTGCCTTTATCAGTCTCATTCTCACATGAGTATACGGAGTATGAAAAGTTCATAGATATGGTTTCAGATTCCACATTGCAATCAACTTTTAAGAAACTCCTACTGGTCAAGTGTTGGTGAGGTAGCAAAGAGAAATAGCCACACTTATCTGAAAAAGCAATTAAAATACTCCTCCCTTTTCCAACTGTATATAGGAGGTTGGATTTTCTTCATTATACTTCAGCCAAAGAACATACCGCAACAGATTAAATGTAGAAACAGATATAAAAATCCAGCTGTGTTCTATTAATCTAGACAGTAAAGAGGTAAAAATATAAGCAATGCTGTTCTTCTCACTAAATTTTTTTGTTTGAGAAAATATAGTTATTTTTCATAAAAATAACCTATGTTAACTTGCAAAGGAATTACTAAGATTATTTTAAGAGAAATTAATGTTTTTAAAAATTTCTCAGTTTTACTTTCTAATATGGTAAATATTGATAGATATAGAACATTGGTTCTTTGGGAGCCTCAGCAATTTTTAAGAGTATAAAAGGAGTCCTGAGACCAAAAAGTTTGAGAACCCTCGTCCCGCCTTGCGCTTGGATCCCTGCCGCTCCATCCAGGACAACTGGCCTCCAGCATGTGCTTTAACACTCCTTGGGATGGGGAGGTCACCACCTCCTGGAGCAGCTGGTTTTAACTTTGGACTTCTCTGTCTGCCGGAAAGTTCTGGCAATGAGTCAAGAATCTGTGTTTCAGCAGCTCCTGCTGACTGATTTTAGGGCCACCCTTTAGTTTCACACGTTGCAGTTTGGGGCCCTCTTCCAGGTCTGGAAGACAGTCATCAATTGCCCTTGGTGGCGGCCCCAGAGGGACTCAGCCTGTCGTTGGGGTGACTAAAGCACATGTGCATTTTTCTGAGTCAGCCAGTGATTTGTAGGAAGCACTGCCAAGCCAGATAACTCACAGCTGCTTTTCCGGGAACCAGAAAATTACGTATCTCCAGTTCCACACCGAATCTGAGAAACTCATTTTATTTTTGTTTTTCCCAATAAATTAATTTTTGCCATTATAAATCACACATGCTTGTTAAGGAAAATAAAGAAACGTAGAAAGAAAAGAGCCTTAAAAATGAAAATTAGGTCATGATTAGCCCTGACTTTCTTGTCTGAGCGTCTCCCTCTCAGGCTTGCCCTGAATGCCATTCTTTTTAAACAATCCCTACCAGCAGACATGTGTGCTATGCCTCCAGAGGTCTCCAGCTTGACAGACTGCCTGCTGCACGGTGGAGGAGGCAGCTGTTGGTCCGTCCACAGCCCCTTAAGGACAGCTGACGATGGGCACTTAGAGGCAACAAGAAGCCCGCGTGAAGATGCGTGATTCTCCTGCTATCTGAAGGCACTTTAGGCCAGATCTCTCCAAGCTATGTGAGGTCGGAGTGGACAGACACTTTACCACAGCAAAGATCGGTAAATGTTTTTCTGCATTTTCTTTTTGGTAAAATATGAAGTTCTTCCAGAAATTCAACTTCTGAGAATCTGTCCTAAGGAAATGAGGAGAGATTTAGGTGGCATTATGTGTCTATCATTATTCGTAAAACTTGGAAACAAGCTAAATGTTCTACAATAAAAGTTTAGTTTAGGGGGCCGGCCTGTGGCCGAGTGGCTAAGTTCGCACGCTCCGCTGTGGCCGCCCAGGGTTTCGTGGGTTCGGATCCTGGGTGCAGACATGGCACCGCTCATCAAGCCACGCTGAGGTGGCATGCCACATGCCACAACGAGAAGGACCTACAACTATGTACCAGAGGGCTTTGGGGAGAAAAAGGAAAAAAATAAAATCTTTAAAAAAAGAGTTTAGTTTAAAAACTATTTGTAAGAGGAAGGGGGTATGTGGGAACTCTCCATAACTTTCCCTCACTTTTGCTGTGAACCTAAAACCGCTCTAAAGAAAAGAAGTCTTAAAAATGAAATATCTGTATGATTTTATATTCTGTGCTGGTTAAAAACAATAAATGACATTTACAAAGTCTTTTTAATGACATGGGAAAATTCTCAACATACAGCGTTAGTTGCCTAGTATATTACTGGCATGCAGTTTTCAAATAAATATTTGTTGATTGAAAATTGAAAAAAGCAGAATATTAGTGCAGTCTCAATTATATAAATATTTTTGTAACAAAGTGAAAAAAAAGGTTATTAATGATTGACATCAATATGTCTCATGTGGAGGAAACTGTCTTTGTGAAAACACTTTGAATGCCCAGCAGGCACAGATGTCAGCAGAGGCCCAGCTCAGACTAGGGGAAGCTGCTTTGCATGAAGCGAAAAAGAGGAATTTGGTTTATTGCTTGTGAAAAAAGGCGGGAAGACAGAAGGTATTGATCAGCGCTCTTGTAATTGCAAATTTAACTCAGTCTGGCTTAAAGGAAAAACCCAGGGATCTAGTTAGCCAGGGCTGGATTCAGGGACTCAAACCTTGTCATCCGTATTCAGGTTCTCTCTCCATATCTTGATTTTGTCTTCCTTTGTCTTGATTCACTCTCAAGCAGGCTCTTCACAAGTGGTGGCAAGGATGGGCACCAGCAATGCTAGGCCGACATTTCTATCAGCTCAGCGACCCCAGGGCAAGAGTCCTTCGCTCACAGAGATTTCCCACAAGCCTGTCCCTGAATAGCAGTCTGGCCAGGCAGATGGAATGCGCAGATTATCTGGGCTTGGTCACTTGTTTGGATCACTGGAACAGGGTGCGGTCAGCCCTGCTCAAAGTTCCAAAAAGTAATTTGCCGGGCTCCTGGCATGGAGCTTCTAAAACCCTCGGAATTTCCCCAGTGGTAAAAGTGTCTTTATTATTCATGAGCCCTTGGATCACCCCTGAGTTTATGCTAATGAGGGGATTCACGGTGGGACCCTAGATAGCTTCAGGATGGAGACTGCTCAGCAGAAAGACCAACCACTGATGAGAAGATTGGGACTTTGAGTCAGCCCAACCTCCAGGGAGGGGAGATGGGTTGGAGATTGGGTTCAATCATGTGGTCTATGATTTAATCAATCATGCATGTACATGCCTTGTATACAAAGAAACTCCGGTAAAACTTTGGACACCAAAGCTCAGTGGAGGTTCCCGCTTGGTGAACATGTTGTTGGGATGATGAGGTGCCCTGCTTCCCTGGGGAGAGGGCACAGAAGCTCTATGTTCAGGAGCCTCCCAGCCCTAGCCCTGCATGTCTCTTCATTTGGCTGGTCTGATTCATATCCTTTATAATAAAACCGGATTGTAAGTATAATGCTTTCCTGCATTCTGTGAGTCATTCTACTAAATTGTAGAACTTGACTGTCAGGGTCGGGGGCTGGCCCAGTGGCCCAGTGGTTAAGTTTGCATGTTCTTCTTTGGCGGCCAGGGGTTCACGGGTTCGGATCCCGGGTGCAGACCTGGCACCACTTATCAAATCATGCTGTGGTAAGCGTCCCACACATAAAGTAGAGGAAGATGGGCCAAGGGTGTTAGCTCAGGGCCAGTCTTCCTCAGCAAAAAGAGGAGGATTGGCAGTGGATGTTAGCTCAGGGCTAATCTTCCTCAAAAAAAAAAAAAAAAAAAAAGAAGAACTTGAGGGGAGTTGTAGGAATCCTCTGGATTTGTAGCAGTTAGTCAGAAGTATGCCCAAGGTCACTTGGTGAGAACGTGGCAGTGAGCATGGTTTGGGTAAGGTGGGCAACATTCACTGCCCTCTGTCCTGTCTCTTCTCTAAGTGAGAACAATAGCAAATGAGACCATTGAGAATAAGTGCTGAAAGGAGAACAGAGACCACCAACTCTAATCCTCTTGTTAAAGAAGAAAATTGAGGGCTGCGCCAGGGAAGTACCTCGTCCAAAGCCACACATAGTAAATTTGTCACAGATCTAAAACTGAAATTTGAGTCCACTGATGCTCAGTTTTCAGGATGGCTGAGCAGGTCTGCTGCCTTTCCCATGAATGAGGGGTCAGAGTCCAGCTCTATGCACAAACTTCCATGGGATCTGATGGATCTGAAGAATTTCTTCATGGAGACAATAGGCATTCGAGTTGACTTTGTAGCCCTAGTGATGAGGTGCATGGCATCATCCATATTCCCTCTACCAATGACTCTGCCGTGGCAACCTAGTTGAGGCAGAGGCTGCAGAACCAAAAGGCTAAGGATGCTCTCCATAGCAGGTGAAAAGTCATGATACTCTGTCTCTTTCCCTGCATCATTCATTTGGCTATTCATCCCTCATCCATGCATACAACCTTTCAACAAAATCTGCTCTGAGTGTGATCCCTGCCATTGTGGAGCTCCCTGACTGTTGGGACAGACAGATGTAAACAACAAATTAAGATACAAAGTGTAGTAAAGAGATAACCTAAGCATTATTGGGAAACCAAAGAGGTAGTGCCTAATCTGTTTAGGGCAGAGGAAGGCAGAGAGGGCAGAAAAGGCTTCCCAGAGGTGGGATCCTGTGTTGAGTCTAGACAGATGAGTAGGAAATATTCAGGTGAACAACAACAAGGAGGAAATGCATTCCAGGATGAAGGAATAGCCCAAGGAAAGACACCTCTGAAATTGTATGGATAATATGACCATTTATTTAAAAAATATTTATATTTATTTACATGTGTATACACATGAAAGGGGTTACACATTAAAATGTTAACTATAGTTATTTATGGTGGGATTATAGATGATCTTTCAGAATTTCATTTTTTATTTTCTTCCATTTTTATCTTTCTTTTTTCAGTAGTGAATGGATGTCCTGCGTGAAATAAAATAATAATAAAAGTTTTTTAAAAAGCTAAACCTTTTTCATAGGAGCTGTTCTTTTGTTATTGAAAGTCTCAAAGATGGTAATGAAGGCTTTTGTCAAGGAAGACTTTCTGCCAGGTTTGGAAAATTTTATTTCACACAGGCTTTCAGAAAAGCCTTTATATTAGATTTCTATATATAAACAAAAATCTCCTACAATTTGAAGAAGCAGAAAAGTTCATGAGCAAGGATGTTGAAACACAGCTATTCATTCAGACATTCATTTAATAAAAATGCGTCATGTATCCCTTTGAAGGTCCACAGATGCTTCAGGCAAGAAGATCCCTTCAAAAACAGGCCGTATAGACAAAAATGAGCATAAGACAAGGCAGAGAAGGCCAAGGGCTGGGAGAGAGGTCAGCTGTGGCGCTGTGGGAATGGTGGGAGTCAGAGAAGGAGCGATAATGGGCTTTCATAGATCTCCACACCTTCTTCCATCAGCATTACCCAAAAAGATAGCAAACACCTACAACAAAGTGGGAATTGCAACCCAACACATTAGTGGGTCATAAAATCAGTTTAAACAGCCAAGACTAGAAAATGGGTTTTTTGTGTGTGTTTATGGAGGTCTACTTATTTATTTATTTTTATTGGAGTATAATTGACATATACCATTAAATTAGTTTCAGATGCACAACATAATGATTCAATATTTGTATATATTGTGAAATGATCAGCACAATAAATCTAGTTAACAACCATCCCATATATAACACAAAGAGTTTTTTTTCTTGTGATAAGGACTTTTAAGATTTACTCTCTTAGCAACTTTCAAATGTGCAATACAGTATTAGTAACTATAGTCACCATGCTGTACATGAGGTCCCCATGAGTTATTTACTTTATAACTGGAAGTTCGTAACCTTTGACTCCTTTCACCCATGTCACTCACCCCCTACCTCCCACATTTAGTTTGTTTTTTTTAATAAGTTTTTCTCTTATAATTTCAGATTTACAGATAAGTTGCAAGGAAACTTCAGAAAGTTCCTGCATATTCTTCACCCAGCTTCCTCTAATATCATCATCTTACATAACCATGGTACCTTTGTCAAAACTAACAGATTAACATTAATAATCTCTTATCAATCTTATCAATTAGTTATAATATTAATAACTAAACTATAGATTTTATTTGGATTTCACTTGTTTTTCCACTAATGTGCTTTTTCTGTTCCAGGATCCAATCCAGGATACTACATTGCATTTAGGAGACTAGTAAAAAGTCAAATTATATAGAAAATATCAGGGTACATTGCACAGACTAAGGATAAGTATTATTGTATGAAACTTGTTTCCATTACATACGTAAGGTGTATTCCTTACTGAAGGTAGCAGTTAAAAAAAAAAATGAAAGGGAGAGACACAGTCTTAGAAGACGGCTAAGAATTCAGCATTCTTGCCATTATGGAGATTGATATTCTAGTGAAAAACCAAACCAAACCAAACACTTGTATATAACAGTGTAAACACTAGTGCAAAGTCAGAAAATGCAAAATGACATAAGGCAGAAGGACTAACAGTCAGAGGATAGAACAAGGTAGAGATCCTTTCATTCTCGCTATCCTGATGTGCTCAACAGCCTCGCCCTTTGGAAAAGAACAGAACTGGCCCTTTACATGCTGCTGAGGTGGCTGGAATTCTTGGATCAACCTGCTGAACAGAATGCGTTGTAGGATAGAATGCACCACACGTAGGACCTGAGCCCAGCACTGCTCTCCCTAGGTCCTCTCCCAGGCCCAGCTGTGCCCTTAGAGAATGAATTGATGGTTGTGAAAGCAGTTGGTAAAATGCAGTTGATAGATGCACTTTGAGTGTGTTGCTTTCGGAGCCTCACTTTCCTCATCTGTAAAATGGGACATGACTCTTGCCCTGGCTCCCTCACAGGGCTGTTGAGAGAAGCAAGTGAGAAGAGAAGTGCTTTATAAATTGTTAAGGGCTGTACAGAGCTATGTAAAAATTATGATTTCAGATATGACTTTTCATTGGTATTATTGTTCTTTGGATAGTAAACATTCTGAGAACAAGGATTATACTACTAGTGCCTATCGCCATGCCCAGCCCACAACAGACCATCATGGCAGACTCATCTCTATGGAGAGATAAGGACCCGGAAACACCTTCTCCCCGCTGGACTTGCAGATGTTCACCCGGTTCCCCCAGCCAGCTGATGAAGCTGGATCAGCTCCCACCGACCCTGCAGACTTGGGTCTAAGCCTGGACCTTTCTACCCTGCCACCCGGAGGGCCTCCTCAGTGGCCACTGGGACTGGTTCTGGGGTCAAACCATTCATTTTCATTTTTATTTTCATGTCTCGTTTAAGAAAATATATTAGATTATCATTTTTAAAACACACAAACACATATATGAAAAATACTGAAAATCACAACCAACAAAGCAAATCTTACCTATAATTCCTGGCTTTAAAAAATTATATAAAGTGTATATAAGTCCCCTCACCTTCACCTTTCCAATCTTTAAGGGTAAGCACAATCAGCAATTTTTCCTATACTTATACTGACATATCTTTTACATCCATTTTAAAAGACAAAAAGTGAGATCACATCACACAGACTATTTGCAGCGTGTTTTTTTGCACTCAACAACATATCAAGGACATCTTTTCAGCTGAGTACATAGAGGTCCATTTAATTCCTTTTAATGCCTGCGTAGTATTCTGTTGTATGGATGTATCATTGATTTATTTAATTAGTCACCTACTGATGAATATTTAGAGTGTTTCCAGATTTATGTAGCTACAATGCTGCAATAAACATTCTTGAACTTCATGTATTTGGCTATTTTTCTCTTGGTGTGATAGACCCCTAAAAGTGGTATTGCTGCTTTTAATATTAGTAGATGCTGTCAAAGTACCTTCCAATACGTTTACCTCAGTTTACACTTCCACCAATAGTGTATGAGAATGTCCATTTCCACACTTGATTGG